CCCTCCCTGCTCCCCTCTCCCTCATGAACCCTTGATAATTTATAAATTATTATTTTGTCATATCTTACACTGTCCGACATCTCCCTTCACCCACTTTTCTGTCCCTCCCCAAAGGAGGGGGTTATATGTAGATCCTTGTAATCGGCTCCCCCTTTCCACCCCTCTCTCCCTCCACCCTCCCGGTATCACCACTGTCACCACTGGTCCTGAAGGGGTCATCTGTCCTGGATTCCCTGTGTTTCCAATTCCTACCTGTACCAGTGTACATCCTCTGGTCTAGCCATGTTTGTAAGGTAGAATTGGGATCATGATAGTTGGGGAGGATGGGGAGGGAGGGAAGGAAGCGTTTAGGAGCTAGAAGAAAGTTGTATGTTTCATCCTTGCTACACTGCACCCTGATTGGCTCGTCTCCTCCCCACGACCCTTCTGTAAGGGGATGTCCAGTTGCCTACAGATGGGCTTTGGGTCCCAACTCCACACTCCCCCTTATTCACAATGATATGATTTTTTTGTTCTGATGATGCCTGATACCTGATCACTTTGACACCTCGTGATCGCACAGGCTGGTGTGCTTCTTCCATGTGGGCTTTGTTGCTTCTGAGCTAAATGGCCACTTGTTTACCTTCAAGCCTTTAAGACCCCAGACATTGTATCTTTTGATAGCTGGGCACCATCAGCTTTCTTCACCTATACCAATGATTCTTGATGGGCTTTGATTTAGGATCCCTCTGAACATTTGGTAATGTCTGGAGATTTTTAGTTGTCACTATCAGGGGTGCAAGGAGATCAGGTGTGCTACTAAACATCTCATGATGCGCTGGGAACTTTTCCTTCATCTCAACAAGGAAAGATTTGCTTAACAATGTTAATGGTGGCAAGAGGGAGAAACCCTAGCCTGTACGATAGGGGCTGTTGTTCATTCCTTGTTTACTTTTCTTTTGCTTCATTGTAGACCTGCAAGATTGGAAGTGTTTGAATTGTAGGGTTTCGGCTGATAGTTTGTTTGTATGATAACCCTGTCTTTTGTGAAAAGACAGTTGTGACAATCCTTTAAGTACCCTACCCCCAACCTACCATCCTGAACACTTAGGACATTTGTCTTCCTGAAAGCTCCTTCGTCTTTTGACTCCTGTTTTTCACAGCAATAAATACATACCTTCTCTTCTGTCCAATAGTCGTGCATCTTGAACGTGGCGCTGGATGTTGATCGCCGTCTTCTGTGGGAGATGCTTTTGGTAATGACCCCAATGAGTGATCGCTGGTCCTTTGCTTAGTCACCGGGGCTTGGATTTTAAAGCCTTCAGTAAGTGACATACTGATTTCCACACCAGGTGACTTAAAGTTGCATGGGGAAAATGCAGAAATTATTTACATTTCACCTTGGTGCTATGAGAGTATACAATTTAGCATCTGTTAAGATGAGGTTTTTTCTTCATAAAAGCATCCCTGTGCTAGGTCTGATCCTATGGCCTATGAAAGTAGTCCACCAAGGATTCTATGGAGGAGGAGGAAGATAACACTTCAATACCTCCTTTCTATTCTGGGTTTGTCTTACCTCATGTTGTCTTTGTGCACACACACACACACCATGGGAGGCAAATATTACTATAATTTTATGTTTACATATAAGCTAAAGTTTAAAAGATAAACACTTTGCCAAGGAACATACAAGGGTAAATCAAAAAGTATTGCTCCTGGGTTTGTAGTTTGTGCATGCATGGGTTTATTCCACTGTATGTGTAAATCATGTCTGCGATCAGTGCATGTATGTAGACAAGTTATCTCCGCAAAACACTTCAAATCAAGATTAAATCAAAGCAGTGGCTTCCAAGGGGGTTTATACCAGTTCACAGCAGTTCAGAAGGTGATGGCTGTTTTTGGAATTCCAAAAGTAATCTTGATAGAGATTCTTGAAAGACAGGGATGTGCATAGGGAGTAGTGAGGAAGAAAACTGCATTGGTGAGAAAAAGATTAGGAAGTTTTGCACAAGGAATGTTTTCCATCATGACTATGTACCTACTCATTCGTCAACGGTAGCAAGGACTGTCTTATGAGAATTGCATCGAAAAACCTTCCACCATCCACCTTCAAACTCCTTTTTACCTCTTCAGACTTCAATTTGAGTAGTTTGAGGATGCTAAAGTTGCCATATTGATACAGTGTAAATCAGGGGTCCTCAAACTACGGCCTGTTGAGGACATTTATCCAGCCCACCGGGTGTTTTTGCCTCATTTGTTTTTTTACTTCAAAATAAGATATGTGTAGTGTGTATAGGACTTTGTTCATAGTTTTTTTTTAGACTATAGTCTGGCCCTCCAATGGATCTGAGAGACAGTGAACTAGCCCTCTGTTTAAAAAGTTTGAGGACCCCTGGTGTAAATAGAATGCTGAATCCAGGGAAGGGTTGGGTGGAAACAGCCTTCAGAAGTGATGATATATATGTATATCAAGAAACAATGAATGGACTTCAAAAAGCTTATGGAAAATAGTGTTGTCAGGTAGTGGAATTTTTCCATGCACTTTTTGGAACCTTCCTGGTAGCTTCAAATTTTGATATTTTAATAAAGGTTTCTGTGCTTTTGCAATATTTCTGTAAACTGTATCTTTGTGTAGCTGCATGCCCAAATGTGTAGTATATTTAGCAACCGAGAAATGAAGCTGGTTGAGGAAGAACACGATGACGAAGTGGAATCTTTTACTGGAGAACAGAAAAGTAAAGCTGGCACGTGTACCGAAAATGGGTTTTGAATTGAGAATAGGATTGAGTTAATGATTCAGAGAAATGCTGCCTCTATTCATTCTTCTAGGTGGGGAGAATGAGCTGAGTGTTGGTACAGTGTCCTCTTTAAGTTTTCATGTGGACTGTTTCCTAATGTACCTTAATCTTGTAACCTTATAAATGCCACTTAGAAACCATATAAACTAGGTTAACTTAACCACTGGACAGATGGCTGTTTTCCTTTTCAACTTGAGTGAAAAGGCAAAATCACCTGGTATGTTCACTGGTGTGCTATATTATAAGATTTCTTCATATATGACATAAAACGTGATGTAGTATTTCATCTGCTATTACAGAAATACCAGAACTGGCAGATGGCTCTGAAAAATAGTTCTTGGCAGATTCTGTTTAGGAGGCTGAATGGCTACCATTGGCTCTAGGAGCAGGTTTTCATTTTCTCTTAACTCTGGAGAGGAGCCCTGGTGTCAGTTTGAAACCACCAGCAGCTCTGAGGGTGAAAGACTGGGCTTTCTATGCCTATCAATAGTTCAGCCTGGGAAACTCACAGGGCAATTCAACCCTGTCTTGTAAGATTGCTATGAGTCAGTATTGACTCTGTGACAGTGAGTTTTTTTGAGTGTGTTACTGGTTGGTTGTTTTGTTGACTTCCTTATGTAGTCTTTTGTATTTCAAAGGAGATTGGCTCAACAGGTAACCTATATAAATCTTGCCTCATAAACATAAGACTACCCATTCCCAAATGGGATTGTAGCTACAGGCTTCTATAGGTACAGAGGTTAGTAATTTATAATGCACATTTTTGGGAGATGCAGTTCAATCCATAACAATATTGAAGCTTAAAAATAAGTGGAACCTCCCAAGGACAGTGTTAACTTCCTGTGGTAATTGTTTTGAAGAAGAGGCATGCTTAAAACCATGTTTACTGTTTAGCACCAAGAAGGTACTGACCGAATCATGAACACCCTTGGCCAATTTTGACTCTGAATGTTAGAATTGTTTTTAAAAGTGAACCCTCCAAGGGCAAACATGTGCTGCTCTTGAAGCTACGATGTCCTAAGGGACCAGACATGTGTTCTAAGTAGGAAGTTCTGAGTAAAAACTGCATCATGTAAATAGCATCATCCATATTCTGAAGTATCTCTTCTAAAGCAAATCCCTTCAAATTTACATAGTACCTCGCTGCCTTGACTTATGAAACTCTCTTTGGATAGACATTGTCATTGCCTCGTTTGGGTTGTAAAGATAAGTAGAATGAGCCATTTTATTTAGCTTTGTTTCCTTACTGTGTGGTTGGAAACTACAAGTGTTCGACACACATGCGTTTGTTTTGAGTGGTGGTAGCTGCCCCTGAGTCCATTCTAACTCAAAGTGACCCCATTGTGTTGAGCAGAACGGCTTCAAATCATTAACTTTTGGCTAATAATTGGATATTTAACGTTTAGAGCCAATCAGGGAACTTTCATGTATTTGCTACTACTTGGTAAAGAGAGATTTTATTATTTTATTATTGGGAATACCTTAGGACAGACTGACTTTGCCATTTCACCTGAGAGACCATGTGTGAAGAGTATGTGTGAGGGATGTGTGAAGAGTCCACAGATTGAGGCTGTTAGGTAGGGTTCTCTAGAGAAACAAAATCAGGACACGTATGATTATATATGTATGGGTAGATTTATATAGGGAAAAGGAACACACCAGGGAATTGCCATAGTCCACAAAGCAGGACAGAGGGCAAAGTTCAACTCTGGATCCTGAAGGTCCAAGGTCAAGCAAGCAGATTTTGCCCTCAGGCAAGACAGCAGAGTGGCCAGCTGGCTGCAGACAGCGCGTGGGGTGGAGCAGAGAGCCTAGTGAAGCAGGTCCCCTTGGAGCCTTGTGCTCTAGTGATGCATGTCAAGGCAACAGGATCCAGGGGTCGGCTCAACCCACGGTTAGCACAGCACAGGGCTAAGGCAAGGACTAGCTCAGGCAGCCTTTCGCTGGTCCCATCACCAAAGAGGGAGGCCAGCCTGCAAGGCCATTTATCTGGGTCATCCACCATTCTAGCTGTGACCTAATTAAACCCCGCCCCCATGTTCCTAAGGGAGCTTAGTTGCACAATAAACCTAACGATCGCAGATGGAAAACAATTACTCTTAGATTAGAACTTTATTTTGTCTCTGGGTATTTTACTGACCTTGTCTCTGTGTGAGTTAAATTTGGGGTTAGAAGCTATCTCATTTTACCCCTCCAAAATAGCTCCTTAACATAATCTCGCAGGCTTGAATTTTGAGAAAAATAGTTCACTCTTCCGGTTTGGAGCCTCTCAAGTTGAAGATATGGGGAACATCATTTTAGCAATGATTTCAGAGCCTTATAGTAAGTATTGCTCTGTCAGAAGAATGGGGCTCTGAAATTTCAACCCACTGCCTTTTCCTGATCTATACTTTTTTCTACAACTCGTGTCTCCCATAGCTAAAATGGTGACTTATATACTCTTAATTTTTAGATCACAGGTTTTCAGATCCAGAGAGAGTAAATTACAAATTTGAGAGTGGCACTTGGTAAGTACTTAATTCCATTGCGTTCTTTGGTTTTTATTCGTCTTGGGATGTTAAATGCTTCCTACATTTTAGGAACCACTTGACGTGATGAACGAAAAAGCATTTCAGATGTATGCATTAAATATGAGGGGAAGTTTCTTAATTCCAATATGGCTTGTGGAATAATCCAAGTAGAGCCATCATAAATGAAAGACACAGGTAAAGACTAGGAACTACGATGATCTAACTTTGCCTGGTGGTCTCGACATGTGTCCTCTCTTCTGACCAGTAAGGCACATTTTTAAGGCTAGTTTTAGGCAGCAGAGTGGTAAGGATGGTGGGACGTGCCCTTGGTAACCACTAATAAACCGGTTTCTATTTAAAGAGAGTGTTTTACTCCCTTTTTTTGTCCACGTTATAGCCCATGTTTGTGTCTATACTTCTGTCATCTCATTGAATAGTCCATCCTTTCACACAAAAAATGCCCAGTGGGAGAAAAACCTCCAGCTGACAAGAGTTTACAAGATTTTTAGCCAGGGTAGTTTTAAGCCTATACTATCAGCCCTGCTTAGAGGAAATAACTGAGGAGGAGTATGCAGGGGTGGTGTCTCTGTGATCACAGAAAGACCTGTTTAAATTTCTGAATCACAGTAAGAAGTTGTCCCGTGAGATGGTCCCTGGTGCCTGAAGTGAACAGAAAGTTTTGACAACTTTGCCTATAGAATGACTTCGAGGCTCATTTAGTTGCGGAGAAAGTGAATCATTAGGAAATCTAAGAGTGCTGAAAAGTCCGAACATGGGAGGAATAGAGCATCAAGCGATGTCAAAATGTGTAGTAGGTGATTTGCAAATGACTCGTTCAGGTGTGGGGACATCCAAGCATTTCCATAAACACGCTGTAATGACTTCCCTGATGACTCCCCAACTTGATAGATACTTTGAAGACAGATCTCTGCCCTCATGAACTCATTCCTGATGGGGGTTAATTACTGGCTCTGTGCTGTTCCTCAGTTTTCCCTAGAAATTGGATTTAAACCTCCTTCATGCCAGATCTTGAGAATAAATTTGACCCTATTGTTGGCTCTTGGAAAGTTAGGCTATGAGAACATTGTTTCCCATGAATTGGTCCTGTGTGGTTTTGAGGTTGTAGCAAGTCAGCAGCTCCACGTTGAGGGAGTGGTTTGCGGGGTGAGCTAGCTGTGTTGCTCCTGCATGGGTGGCACCTTTCCCTAGTAAACCACCTGGTGTTTGGGTCACTATGAATTGGAACCTACTCAGTGGCAAGTGGATAGTGAGTCGTGGCCATAGTTTTTTTAGTTGATGAAGTTGGTGTGTCAGTATTTGTCTACCTGAACCCTGAGCAACTCAAACTTGGGCATGTACTAGGTGAATTGACTTGCTCTGGGGGTGGGGTGCCCCACTTGTTAGCATTCCTTGCACAACGTGAAGTTCTGCTTGATTCACAGCAGCAAGATGGAGCTAATAGATGACAACACCGTAGTCAGGGCACGAGGGTTACCATGGCAGTCATCGGATCAAGATATTGCAAGATTCTTCAAAGGACTCAATATTGCCAAGTTGGTTTCCTTGTATCTTACTCCAGCAATTCTAGAGGGATAAGGGGTTTCCTAACATTTTCTGCCACCTTATTTCTTTTCTGCCTCTCATTGTTTTATCGTTTCCAAAGGGGAGGTGCTGCACTTTGTCTGAATGCTCAGGGTCGAAGGAATGGCGAAGCTCTGGTTAGGTTTGTAAGTGAAGAGCACCGAGACCTGGCACTGCAGAGGCACAAGCATCACATGGGGACCCGGTACATTGAGGTATGCCCTCACAGCCTACCGTGCTTGACATCGCGAAGGAGGATTTGCAGATGATGACATGCTCAGAAACCTGTGTGTTTTCATTTTCTTTTCTTAGGTTTATAAAGCGACAGGCGAAGATTTTCTCAAAATTGCTGGTGGTGAGTGCCTCTTCTGTCCTAAGAATAGAGATGGAAGATCATCCATACACATCACGGATAGATAATAAAGTCATGGGCAGTTTTGTTTCCCAACAAGACATGGGAGAAAGAGAATTCCAATAGTATCAAAGAGTGTGATGATGTATAACATTGGCCCCCAAGGTGGGAGTCAACCTGGCTTATTTAAATAGCCATTTAAGACAGTATTATAAAAAGTAAAGGAGCGGTACAGACTGTACAGGACTAAGCTGACTGAGCTGGGCAGTGGCAGTAGACTGGGCTTTGGTGACTGGCAGGGGATCGTTGATTCAGGAAGCTTCACCAAGGAAATCATACACAACGCGATGTTTCGGAAACCACCTTGCCATACCCCTACAGCTAGTAAGGTCAGGTCTTTATCTGGAACTAAAGGCTGATTGAGCTCCGCCACTTCCACACATTGGAGAAGACCTCCTAGTACTTTAAGGCCTTCCCCGGGCTCCCACTTCCTGGCACAACTGCAGATTGCAAGCCTCAGACAAGCAGGGGAGTCCTTCCCTGCAGTGAGGCTTGGGGCCAGAATTCAAAGCTCATCCAATACCAGAGGGTCAGCTACCAGGTATAGGCTGGAAGCCAGGTGGGACTGGCCAGAGACACCTACATGTAAGACTCATGCCCACTTACCCCTCCTTTGCAAGACTAGCTCTCCCTGCCCAGTGTCCACAAGTAATTCCTTTCTGCTTGTGGAGGGAAGAACAATATGAAACTAGAAAGACACTAGGTTCAGATGTGTAAGCAGGTGTTATATTGCCGAATACCTGCATTTACTACATAGCAGCTCTATAGAAAATACTTTACATTGGATAGAAAGTTGATAAATGTTGAACCTGCCTGCTGAGTTTATGGGGGGGTCATTATACCATTCCCTGTACTTCAGCATGTTGAATGTTTTTTTCTTTATTAACTAATTCACGGAAATGTATGTATGAATCTGATTCTCATAATTTGTGGAGGAGGTAATTTTGTCCTCATTTTATAAATGAGGAAATTACGGCACAGAGGTTAAACTTGACTAAGTTCGTTCCTAATAATGGTGCAAAGAAGATTGGACCCAGTCGTCTGACTCTAGAACCTGTGCTTTTAGCCACTGCAGTGACTTAGGAAAATATGGCTGGTCCAAACAGCTTGCTAAATTTTAGATGTGCTTTGAAAAGTTTCAAGTTTTCAATTACACCGTGGTGTGTGTGTGTGTGTGTGTGTGTGTAAATTCAAGAATCTAGCTGGGTGCAATTTGGTAAAATTGGTGTTTTCACAGGCTTAGCCATGTTGAATTTGATAAAAATTGACGTGTTCATGACATTTCTGTTGTCTAGGAACATCCAACGAGGTAGCCCAGTTTCTCTCCAAGGAAAATCAAGTCATTGTTCGAATGCGGGGCCTCCCTTTCACGGCCACAGCTGAGGAAGTGGTGGCTTTCTTTGGACAGCATTGTCCCATCACTGGGGGAAAAGAAGGCATCCTCTTTGTAACCTACCCAGATGGGAGGCCAACAGGGGATGCTTTTGTCCTGTTTGCTTGTGAGGAATATGCACAGAATGCATTGAGGAAGCACAAGGACTTGTTGGGTAAAAGATACATTGAACTCTTCAGGAGCACAGCAGCTGAAGTCCAGCAGGTTGGTTTTTAAAAGCATGTTGGCGGCTTTGCTTTTATTTCTGTTCTTTTTTAATCTGGAAACCGGATTATTCACTGTGTTAAAATTTGGAAAACATGAGAAGTATACGTGAAAAAAAAAAGCTGGTTTCATAGCCTGAAGATAGTCACTATTTGTTATTTACACTAAGAAAAATTCCAAGGCTTGCTTCTGATTTTGGAATTCTACTGTACTATGTATCTTGCTTAAAGGTACATCTCAAAAGTACACCCACATTAAAAGTGTTTCATCTTTAATATTTCCTGACTATATACAAAATCGGGAGAAAGATGAGGCTCTACTTTGGAGAGAGTTACAGTCTTAGAAACCCAAAGGAACCATTCGACACTGTTCTACAGAATTTACTGCAGCAAGGAGTGTATATATGATATATGTAAAAGCTGTCTAGAGCCTCCTGTAGTATGCATTTCCGTGACCTCCACAGTATAAGACCTTCCTACATAAACGTGCTTTTAAATCTTTTCTGAGTAGATTCTTTAGAATAGCTTATAAGGTGTGAGCTTTCAAAATTTTTACTAAGGTCTTGCCAAACTTATTTTTTAAATCGGTTGCTCAATTTCATATGCTGCTGGTAACTTTGGCCCTGTTCTGACTAGCTTTCAGAATTTAGTTGATATTTTTAAGGCATAAGATGTAGCGTAATAATTTCTCTAAAATGTACTAGTAATAAGATCCAAGTGTGAAATCTCCGTTAGAAGAAGAGTGAAAAAAAAAAACAAAAACAACAAAAAAGAAGAAGAGTGAAATTTTAATTTTAGATATTTAAATGGAAGAAATTTATTGCAAACTTTCCCTTGAAGTGTGCTGCCTAGTGCCTCAGGTACGGTCAGCTTGGCTGTCGTGTGTGCTGCATAATTTAGATATGACTCATAAGTTGCAGCTTCCTCACTATCACTCCACCCCTACTGATTGGTTTAAGAAGTATTGAGTTCGTCATAGGGTCTGCCACTGTGTTTTTTAACGAATAATTTCATTTAATAAATATGTGGGCTTCTAATTCAGTCTGAGCACTGCAAGGTGGGCCATTTCTTGTCGTGGATTTATCTGGAATCCATTGATTTTTCCTTCTTTTTTTCCCTCCTAATGTTTATCCTTTTTCTGTGTTGTTTGGATAATCTTGAAAACTCTTCCTGTCTCTTAGTCTTCACATTTTTTGGATTGGGGTGTGTGTGTCTTTTGTGGGGGTCACTTTTTCAGATAGCTATTAGATACATGGGGTGTGATTGTTCAAGACAAATTATTGGGAGGGGTTAATTCTGTATGTTCCATTTTATTGAATGGATAAACCTTAAGGAATATAGTGATAATTGGTTCAGTGAGCCAGAGGACACAGTATTTTGAACTGTCTGATGAGTTTTAAATTTAAAGAAAGACAAAAATGAACAAGAGCCTTATAATCATTTTCCTTAGAAGCAATTCTTTCTTTAGTATATACCTAACTGACCACATACTTAGCCCTGGTGGCATAGTGGTTATACACTGGGCAGTGAACTGCATGGTCCACAGTTCAAAACTGCCAGCACCTCTCTGGGAGAAAAACTGGCCTTTCTACACCCTTTACTGTCTCAGAAACCCCCAGGGGTGTCACTACAAGTCAGCATTGACTCCATGGCGTAAAGGTTTTTAATTTTATTTATTTATTTAGTACCCAGCTTTAGGACAGCTCACTCTCATGAATAAAAAACAACAAAAACTCACTTCCATCGAGTCAATTCCAACTCATGGCAATCCATTAGGATAGAGTAGAGCTGGGCCTTTGGGTTTCCAAGTCTGTGAATCTTTACAGGAGCACAAAGCCTCGTCTTTCTCTTGAAGAGCAGTTCATAGGTTTGAAACGCATACCCACTATGTCTTCAAGGATCCTTATAAATCTAAAAAATAAAAACATGTTCTGTCTTGCAGTTCATCACCACCACAACCACCCCCACCCCACCCCACACATAGTTTTCTATTAGTTATCCTATGTCTGCTTTTTTTTCTCAATTATTTTATTGAGGGCTCGTATAATTCCCATCACAGTCCATACATACATCCGTTGTGTCAAGCACATATGTACATTTGTTGTCCTCATCAATCTCAAAACACCTGCCTTCCACTTTAGCCCTTAATATCATTTGCTCATTTCCCCCTCCCTCCCCACTCCCCCATGAACCCTTCATAATTCATAAACTATTACAGTTTTTTCATCCTATGTCTGTTTTTTTATCCTTATCCATGTGCACGTTATTCTGATGTAACCCATAATCATTGTTAGGCTTGTGGCAGTTTTACTGCCGCATTCCTTTCCTGTTTCTTTGGTCTAGAGGTTAACTTGGAAGGGGATATTAAGGAGTACACTGTATATTACCTGAAATGGAATCTGATTGCTTCAGTAATGTACATTTAGTGATAGTACAGATTTTGTTTGAAGTTGTAATCTTTAAGGGTACTTAGTCCAAGGCAGGAGGGATAAATTTGCCCTTCCAGGTAGACAGAGCCACCATCTAAGCTAACTCGTCTGTGTCTATAGTAGTGGGCCTCAAGTATTGAAAAGTGGGTGTCCTGCTGAAAAGCATGAGTACCTTTCTTCACAGGATGTCTCTGATAAGTTCATGTGTAACCCAAGGGTCTTGCTACTAATGCAGGATTGGACTTCAGCAAGTCTGCCTGAGAGCTTGCGTTGCTAACAGGTTTCTAGGTGAACCTATGTTGTACTCCAGGCTTTGCTGGCATACCGAGACTATGAGTCATTTCTGTTTTGCTTTGAGCACAGGTGCTGAATCGATTCTCCTCGGCCCCTCTCATCCCACTTCCAACCCCACCCATTATTCCAGTACTACCTCAGCAATTTGTGCCTCCTACAAATGTTAGAGACTGTGTACGCCTTCGGGGTCTTCCCTATGCAGCCACAATTGAGGACATCCTGGACTTCCTGGGAGAATTCTCCACAGATATTCGAACTCATGGAGTCCACATGGTATTGAATCATCAGGTAAGTCTTTTATTAGAACTTAATCTGACTATCAAAGGCTCTCAGAATAATTTTAAAAACAAATAAAAGTACGTATTGGAACCCTTCAAATGAAAGATTGAATTATAAGTGAAAGAAGGCTTTAGAGAATTTTTACTAACATTCAAGTTCAGCTCTGATTTCTTTGTCACATGTGCCAGACAGGAGTCACACATCTTCTACATCAGTCTGTAAAACATTTTCCCATCACAACTACTCAACCCTGTGATCCTGTGCAAGCAATCTTAGATGATACATAGTTAGAGATGATCGTGTCTGTAGTATAGAATAGCTTAAATCTATGAATTGTTTATAAACTTAATGAGGACTTATAGCGGCCTCACTTATAACAATATGTGAAACACAATGGGCATTCATATCTATTAATGATTGAATTTTAAACAGGGAGGACTCTTAGTAGCAATTTTTCATGCAGGCATGTTATTCGTTCGCTATGTAACTAATGGTTTGATTTCACTTGCCAAGTAGAACTTAACACATTAGTTATTCGATATTTTTACCAGCGTTTTGTGTTAGCATAAACAGAAAAGAATTTTAGAACTCTTAAGCTCACTAGTTCTAATGAAAACTTTGAAACTACTAAAAGCAAAATTATATTACTTTTTGAAAACTGGATGTTTTCTGAACAGTTTGGGCTAAATAAAACTTTAAAAGTTAGGAACATTGTTTTCCAGTGGCTAATTTCTGACCGCTTTACTTGAAGTTTTGTTCACATTCACAACCACAGTCTGTCGCATCTCGTGGGAAAAGCGCTTAGCACTGCTGCAAGGAATCAGAAAATAGTATTTACTGGCCTTGGCTACACAACTTGGGCACATTCTACCTCTGATGTCAATACTGCACTGAACAACTTTTCTTTTCCCTAGTTACCCTTTCAGTTTGCTAAATGACTCATAGTCGTTTCCCCACAATTCCTTGTTGAACCAAATTCCTAATAGCCTAAGAGCACTCTCATTTACCCACACAACCTACTGTGATTGCACTCGGGAGAAATGCCTCTTTGATGACAGTGGGGCTCTTAGCTGTTAGAGTTCTATCTTGTACTGGGTTTGTTGCTAATTTGCCTGATGATGGCAGCTCTTACGGTAACTTGCATGGTAATGATTTGGATAAATGGTCCTTCGGAATCATAAAGGAAACCACATAACAAAAAGGCAGTGCTAGAAATCTCTGTTGTTTTCTCCCATTAAACAAGTGGTCATGCTGAGTAAAACGGAGACGCCTAGAGCGTTCTGGTTCTGTAGAACAGACATCTGTAGGCTGGGTTTTCAGGAGAGGGTTACTTGGCAAGTTATTTATTGTTTGTAGACGGCATACCTCCATCAGTGCTGTTTCGCCAAAGGTAGAGAAGGAGGTGAAAGAAAAGTTCCCAAGCAAGGCTGATGTGGCCTCACTGTTCTGCTAGTCCCAACTCCAACACCCTCTCCTCACTGCTGCCCGGCCCAGTCCTTCCTTGGCTTCGGGGATGAGGGCAAAGTGAATGGGTTGCTACAGCAAGGTGTTCCACGGTTTCATGTAGGAGGATATGCAAAGCCCTAATGCTGGCTCTGCTTCTGACTTTTCTCAATGGAATGAGATTAAGTCAGGTTTTTCGGAAGGATAAAAACCCAATATACAATCCTATACTTTGAAACCGCAGTCACAAGGGGACCCTTTCAGAACCATGTACATCTGATACTAATTAAAAGAAACCCAAAAGGCTCAGTTTCAGCTGTGAGCTCTCAAAACCGTTTCCCCAAGGTTTTGTGGGCCATTCTGGTGATTAGGTGATGCAATGCAAGCCAACTTTCAGGCGATCACACTGTCACCCAGATTTTGTGGTTACAGTGTCTGTTCTATGGGTGATTGTCTTGTCACATTGGGTGTTTCATAAGCAACCATTTCCTTGTTGAGGGAGACAGTCTCCTTTTGTTTTTATTCTCCCCCCACAAACTCAGGGCCGCCCTTCAGGAGATGCCTTTATCCAGATGAAGTCTGCCGACAGAGCATTTATGGCCGCGCAGAAGTGCCATAAAAAAACGATGAAGGACAGATATGTTGAAGTCTTTCAGTGTTCAGCTGAGGAGATGAACTTTGTGTTAATGGGGGGCACTTTAAATCGAAATGGCTTATCCCCACCGCCATGTAAGTTACCATGTAAGTTCTCCTTGGGTCTCGGCGCTACTCTACGCTCTACGCTGGTAGGAGCTTAAGCTGCTTCCATGACTTTCTGTGTCCCTGGTTCTTTGTGAGGCCGGTGAGGTGGTTACGTAAGGCTTTCCCCTCTGAAATCGGTAGTATCTGGTAATCATTTAAGACCTTGGTTGTGGACACCCATAATTAGAGATGCTACAAATACTTCCTTTCAAATTATATTCTTGCTTTTCCAGTGATAAGCACTTCATTTCTCAAGCTTAGTGTGCTCAAGATAAGCACTGACGCTGGGAGTCAGCATGGCTATCTCAGTATTCTGATACGCATTTCGTGGTAAAATGAAGAGTATGACTGAACATTTACATTTAAAAAAAAAATTCCACACAGTAAGCGCTTCCTAAAGGGCGATTGGATTCCTATCGGGCACTTCCTATATTTTGGGGGGTCAAGTATTCTTGTGGAAAGGATACGCTGAAGAGCATTTCTTTTGCTCTACAGGATATCTACAAGGAGCAAGTGATTCCAAAATAGAAATGCGTGAGTCAACTAGCCAAAGTCCCCATTGGACCCCAGGATCAGTGCTTAACTTCAAGCCCCGCTCTTGCTCATTGACCCCTGGGTGGAAGCCTCCTGAAGTCCTGTTTGAGGGGAATAAGCCCTTTACTCTAGAGATCGAGTTCTGGTTCCTGACTACAGAGCATGGTGGGCATGCAATGTTAGCACGTGGATCATTTTTACACAGCGTACACTTCTTAGATGGCACGTTGGGTATAGTTAAAGACTAGCGCTTGGAGTACAGTGCAAACACACTTTAGAAAGTAAATTTGGATTTATGTGGTTGATTTTAATAAAGCATTTTAGGACATCACTTTCTCGTAAAGCAGAATCTATACTGCCAAACCTGTTTGATATCAAATATAATCCACAGACTATTGGGTGGCACTTAATCCTTTTTTCACCCCCTCGGAATTCCTTAATGCTACTATTCCGTTTACCTTCTGCTTGCTCTCGGTGAATATCTAAGTTCATGAATGAGTTGTTCGCAGTTGAAAACCCATGATGAGGTGGATGAGAGTATCATTGTAGTCTTGAGTCTCCCGTCTGCAGATCACAAGCTGTGTCAGTCAACCATTGTGATTGCCTCTAGTGCTTCTCATCAGGCAAAGGGGGATTTCTTCATGGTGAACAATCCAAATTGTTGTGTAATAACCTTTATCCTTCCTTTACTTTCTTGCTCGCCCTCGAGGAAAATTGGTCTTTGTGGACTTCTTCCTCATTTAAAATTCAGTCGTTGTTGTTGTTTGTTTACTTGGGTTTTTTTGTTTTCAATCAGTTCCAAATTATACGCCCTAATATTAATGGTTGTGTTTTTTGTTGTTGGACTTTTCTCCATCAATGTGTGCTAAAATTCACTATAGTTGATTGCATCTTTCTCCAGAAACTGAAACGTAATTGCAACTTTGTATTAATCTCAAGGACTAATGCATTAAGGGGATGACCGATTATCATTCCCCTCGTGGAATGAGGTAAAGAAACGGCTGCGTTTGACGTTTCTGTCCCTTTGAAGGAACAGCTGCAGGCCAACTTCATTTTGCTAGCTCACTGCCTACCCTACTCCCTGGAACACAAGCGTAGTCACCCTTACATTTGAGAACGTACCAAATACTAGTAACCTGGTGTGTTTATTTGCAAGCCTCTTCTACCTTCCCCTGTTTTGATGCAAAACAGATTTAAACTTGTTTTGTGCTCTTAAGTTGATTCCAACTCTCAGTGGTCACTTACATGTCGGTGGATCTGCCCCTTAGATTCCATAGGCTGTGAGCTGAGTGACAGTCTTGCTGGCTATTTCCCTCAACGGTGGCTGGTGAATTCAAACAACTGACCTGTTGGGTAGCAGTGCTAATCACTTAATGATGGTGCCACCAGAATGTCTACAGTTTATTCGTACTAGAAATGTCTGTCTTCTTGGTGTGACATATTGTAGTTTAATGAATTCCATGGTGGTGGTATAAGCACTGACTTAGTTTATCTGTGCGGCTTATGTGCCTTAATCTGTCCTGTTTGCCCTCCTTTAAGGCCTGGAATCATAACTGTAAGAAATGTAGGTGTTGAACTTAACACAGCTTGGAGTCAGTCAGTAGCCTGGTCTTTGGTCTATTCACTCGTATTCAGTGTAGTGTTTGTTTTCCTCCAGAACATTCGATGGCTGGCATCTGATGTTGGCTGGCATCATTTGTATGATGGTAGAACGACATGCTGTAAGGATTCTAGGGGCTGAGTTTTTTGGAAGTAGGGCTGCCGCCAAGCCAGGTGCATTAATTATTTGCACCTCTGAGACTCCATGTATGTCCATAGAATTGCAGAACATGGTTAAAAGGGTTAAAGAAAGATAATTAGACTTCATTTTGGATCTTTTAAATATGACAAGGTTATGTCTGTGTGCCTGGTATTGAAAATATATGAGCTGGGGCTAGGTGTGAGAAGTACCGACAGACACTCCAAGCTCAGTAGACAATCCAGTTCTCCCCAGTTGAGTACAAACAGCCTGCATAATTGTCAACACCCCACATGCTTAAGTAAATGGCAAGCAGCTGGTCTGATGTGTGAGTTTCTGGCTCTTAAAAACTTGGAATAATCAGAAGGTAAAGAATATTTTTCCCCTTCATCCTGTTTGAGTAGCTTTTAAATCATCTGATCTTTTAGGAAGACTTACACATTATTTATTTGAGGCCATCGCCTAGATTGGATTTATATATATATATAGACTTGAAGCTCTAGGTAACTTTTAAAAGCTAATCTCTCAGTTGACTGTAGGGGTGAGGAACACACAGCTGATCTACCACCTGTCGATCCAGTCGCTTTGGGATGCTCTGTACTTTGCATCATACAGTACAGCTGACCCTTGAGCAACAGGTTTGAACTCTGGAGCCACTGAGTGGGAATTTTTTCTTTTTTAATATGTTAATGTTAAAAGAGTATTTTCATTTATCAGGGCAGGCCCCCCCCCACGGGAAACAACCCTAACCTCCTGTCCTGCATTGTTCAAGGGTCAGCTGTAGTCTGTAGTCATAATACCACCGAATGATGTTTTCCCATAACTTTTTCTTAGACAACTCTACTGCAAAGATAGATGACAAAAAGAAGTAGCAACATACTTTTCCCAAGTGAAGAAAACAAGATTTTAGTTTGAACTTTTATTAAAAGTTAGTCCCATATGTCTTTCCTCAAAGGGTTGCATGTGGTAACTGGCGTTCAGAAGTGCAGAAAAACAGCTGCGACAACCAAAGTGCCACAGAGACTTCAAGCTTGCATGCTAAGACCAGTTCTTTGGGTTGTTGGAGTATGGTTTGGGAGATTACCTCTTAGGGTTACCTGTATATGGCACGGGGTGATGTAAAGAACACTTTCTTTTAAATTTGTTTTAGACTAGTGGCCTCATGGCCTTAATGTTACATTTATGTTGGCTGATGAAAATGTGTCTCAAAGTCTCTCTTTTTGCTTATTTAGGCTTGTCTCCTCCCTCCTACACATTTCCAGCTCCTGCGGCAGTTATTCCCACTGAAGCTGCCATTTACCAGCCCTCTGTGCTTTTGAACCCACGAGCCCTCCAGCCCTCCACAGCCTACTATCCAGCAGGCACTCAGCTCTTCATGAATTACACAGCATACTACCCCAGGTTAGTCTCAGCAGGACAGAGACAAAGGGCTCCTTTTACAACCAGTGACTGTGCTCGCAAAAGAATATTTGTCTCTACGTGGAAAGTTAGCACGACAGTGAGTAGCTTCTGGTTGTTTCAAAACAGACTGACAAATAAGTTTTCTTTTTAAACTGTATACTGACAACGTAATCTTTTAGGTTGCCTATGTATACAACTTTCCATTTTTGTAATCTCTGTCATAGTCAGGCAATGGAATGTAAATGAATCACAAAATGAGAAATCCATGATGGGAATCATTTTAATTCACAGTAAATGAGCACATGTTGAATCTTTCTATAACCCCATCTAGAACTGGACTATTGACTACTTTCTGAGAGTACACATATTTCTAAATCTTTGGGGGTTGTGTGTGTGTGTGTGTACGTATGTACTGACCTTCAGAGGGGTAGAAGTATATAAAACGGAGAAGAATGCTGCGTCAGTGTGGGAGCTGAGAGAAGTTTTAGTTTCATTTCTTCTAACTGGGACAAGTCACTTAATTTTTCTGGCACTACAAGTATTTGTGGGAGCAGGAGGGCAGAGGGAAACTCCCTTCCAGCTCTGATTGCCTGTAATTCTAACTGGGTGTGTGAAGGGTCTTCAGAAACTTTGTGGGAAAATTACCATTGTCTTTTCACTGATCAAAAAAAATTTTTAAGTCCCAGCATATATCCTCTCTTTTAAAAATCTTCTGCCAATAAATGGGTTACTTTTGTAAAATCAGATATATGATATATACATATCGGATATAAAATATTTTTTTGATGTAACAAATACTGCTCAGAACTAAAATGAAGTAGGTACATATGGTTGGTATTCTGTTAGGTGGACTGAAACGCACCCATTCTTCCCTATCCTGGCTGTGTTTATTTATTTATTTGTTTGTTTTTTGTTGTTGTTTTGTTTTTTTAAATCAATTTATTGGGGCTCATAAAATTCATCACAATACATACATCAATTGTGTAAAGCACATCTATACATTTGTTGCCCTCATCATTCCCAAAATTCGCTTGCCTCTTGGGTTCCCGGAATCAGCTCATTTTCCCTTTTTTTGATGTTTTTCCGGATTATAAATTAAGAAATATACTTAATTTATTGAAATGCACATAAAATTACAACAAATTTACAATGCACACATGCTAGATTTTCAAGACATGTAAAATATGTTATCCTTGTACTGTCTGTCCTTAATCATTGCAGTATGTTAAAGTCAATTTCAGAAGTTCTTAACAAGCATAATGGAAGCATTTACAAAGAGTAAAAGAAATGAAATCATGCTTGCCAGAAGTCCTACGTTGTGTACAGTTCTTCATGTTCTATATATTTTTTCTGTGTCCAAATTTCCATTTAATTTTTTTTTTCTTTTAAAAAAAATCATTTTATTAGGGGCTCATATGACTCTTACCACAATCCATACATACATCAATTGTGTAAAGCACATTTGTGCATTCATTGCCCTCATCATTCTCAAAACATTTGCACTCCACAAAGCCCCCAGCATCAGGTCCTCATTTTTTTCCCCTCCCTCTCCGCTCCCCCCTCCATCATGAGCCCTTGATAATTTTTTTTTTTTTATCATTTTATTAGGGGCTCATACAACTGTTATCCCACTCCATACACACATCAATTGTGTAAAGCGCATTTGTACATCGTTTCTCAACTGGCTGTGTTTAATTGTGTTTCCTGCCACCACTAACTTGAGTTTTCCAGCACTGAGCAAGAACTCTGGGGGAATCACGGGAGCTTGTAGTCACTGAATTACTTTCTGTGGGTTTCGCTAGAAAACTTCAAAACATTCTTTAGCACTATAGGAAAATTATTTTCTGTTCTTGGGGGAAAGTCATCTGAGTCAGTCGGCTGGTGGTGGTTTATAGACTCAGAGCACTGGTAACTTCCCGGTTGAGTGTTGTGTCGGGCTGCAATCCCCAATCTGTTGCCTTCCTTGGACCCTAGCACAATTACTTGCCTGGGGGTGTGTTCTGGTTAGAAGGAAGTCCTGTGTCTGCATGTCTTACATCATCAGAATGTCAGGAGTAGACTGCACTGTTACTCTGATGGCTGGGTGCAGTTCTCATGCCCATGGTGCACTTGGGCAGAGTATCTGATTTCAACAGACCTGCTAGCCGAGCTCTGTTAGATGCAGAAATCTTTTAGAAAGTTTCTCAGCACGATGAAATGGGAGTCTCAGTTTTGAAGGCCCCAATGTAGAAGGAACTGGCATTCTTGGTTTATTATAGTGTCTATATTTGGACCCTGATTGTAGGTGGATTTTTTTTTGTACTAGAAATTTAAAAATTTATGTGCCCATTGCTATTACAATGCTTCTATAGGACACTCATAAAAGTGGAAATTGTGAATTGAAGGACCATGTGTATTATATTTAAGTTAATAAACCTAGATTTCCTCATATCGTGTTTAATTATTTTGTTTACATTTCCTAATTCATGAGTGTTCTATGCTCCAATCTATACCGCTAAGCAGTATTTTAAAATAGTCAAATATACTGATCGCTTTTGCAAAAAACCAGGAATGTATACAACAGGACATGATTATGGGATATTTGAGGCTATTGAAATTCTGTCATTGACATTAATTTCTCAATGTTAGCAAAGCGAATATAATTTGGTTATTAGGAAAATTGTGGAACACTATACACTAGCATAAAAAGGGGTATTAATGAGAAGTTCAGGAATTTTGAGTGTCTCACTTTAAATACAGCTTCTATCATTTAATTTAGTTTACCTTAAAATTAATTCTGTGTGTTAACTTAAAAACATTAAAATACTAATTAGCAGGTTTCTAAAAGCTTACCCTTACCCTCTCAAAAAACTGAGATTTTTGACTTGCTGGATTTTACTCTTGTTGAGCAAACCTTTACTGAGCACCTTCTGTGTCTTTGGAGTAAGGTTTAACATAGAGGAGCTGATAGAATTTACTGCCATGTAAAATATTCCTGACTTTCAAAAGAGTTCTGAAACTGCGAAGCATTGTCTTTATTGTCATCTCTAATAGTATGTTTAAAATCCTAGAGGAAATCTGAGAATGTAAGAATTTCATTTTAAGGACATAGATTACTTGGGGAGAATTTAGAGTCACATATGAATCCAAAAATTACCTTTTACTTTATTGTTAATGAGTTTTTAGAAACGTAACATGAATTTGAAACATGTTAAAAAGCAATGAAATAAAAGCACAAGGTTTTGTATTTTCTTTGCCCCTTGTAAGAAGATAAGTTATTCAATATCCTATAGCTTAGCCCTAATAAGTTAGGGTCATCTTAGGCGAGGGGGTAGGGAAGGCTTGGCGGTCTTGAGTGAATCCTTATTTGGCTGCCCGGGTAAAATGGTGATGGTGGACAAATGCCTTCCTAGAGGTAATTCTTTGCACCTAAGCAGGAAGGCATTTTACAGTGTCTGGTTTTGTTGTGTACAGTTAGCTGTGTTGTGTGCTGGAACACCTTACAATCAGACTAGAAGAATACTAAATCTCTTTACAAGAGGTTTACAATTTCTGTTTTGACACCTTGCCACATTTTAAAAATGTTTTTATTGAGGGAATTGTATGTTTGCATGCAGTTGTGAGAATGATAATGAGACCGTTTGTACGCTTTGCTCAGTTTATCCCATGGGTAAGATTGGCCACTTGTTTACTTTTTAAATTTTCTTTTTGATGGTCTTTTGATCAGATAAAAAAATAAACATAAAAAAGATTTAAAGGGTTTTGGTTTTTTTTGTCATTTGCAACCTAAATATTTACAGCCAAAAAAGCAAACAGGAATTTGGCGTCTAATGAAATGACACCAGGCTATGGTGGGACCAAGAATCACTCACTGGTGGTGGATGGGAATGGTGGATTCTCAGGCTTTTCTACCTGGATGACACAAGCCAGAGAAATTACCAGATTTCCACTACTCATCAGTAAGAATTCGGTGAGCTTTCATAGAGGCAATAGTCCTGTGCGAGCTAAAGACTTTATTCATATAGTGAGCAGTTGAGGAATTTAAGTTTTAAATATGCTTATAATTATTTGAAACATGACATAAAAATGATCAAATGCAGTGGGCTCCAAAATAGTCACTTAGTCAATTACTGATAAAAATTAGTTTTCATTTGTAGGTCTGTTATTTAACATTTTTCTTAGGAATTTGAAATCCTCTATAACTAATATAACTTAGTCCTGTTTGACGGGTGACTCTCATTTATACTTTTTAGAGGATACGTAAAAAATTCTGTGCTTGGATTCCTTATCTTTTTCTGAGCCATGATAAGTTTTATGTTGTCCGTATTTCTGTGTTGACAGAAAATCCATACGTTCTTTGAAACTACTCCTGTGTTTAAAGTTTTCTCTTTGGTTCTATAACAAAGCCTTCCTTAATTTTTTTAAACTACATAGGATGTGATAAAAAGTTTTCTGATAACTCAGTATTGCATTTCCCATGAGAAGTTGTAAATATCCCAGAAAGTAACTAATTAATATGAACTAAAGTCAACTTTAATTAATTGAAAGCTTTTCTATTTATGTTTTCTTAAATTGTTTTGAGAGTAAAATTTGCATACCATAAAACCTACATGAGTGTGCTGCCATTAAGGAAGACCAATATTTGAATATTTCCGTTTCTTGAAAAACTTGTGCTCTTTCGTAGAAACACCCAAACCCTCGCCCTTCTGCCGTTTTTGCGGTCTCTTTCTTCCACCCTTGAGCAGCCAACAATCTACGTGTTTAATTTCGTCTCTTCTGGATAGTTCATATAAATAGAGTCATATGTCATCTTCTGTGACTAGATTTTATTTTCTCCTATTAACATATTTCTGGTTTTTGGCCCTAAGGTAGCATCCTGCTATGAACAATTGTGAATGTACAAGTTATTTTGTGTAAATATGTAATTTCAGTGGTCTTGGAAGCAGCAATCAAGAAAGCAAGTGATGAATTGTTTTGAGACAAATCAGCTGCAACAAGACCTATTTAAAGTTTTAAAGAGGGCAGGCAAAACTCTGAGGACATAGGTGTGCCTGGCGGAAGCCTTGGCGTTTTCAGTCACCTTTTATGCATTTGAAAGCTAGACAATAAGGAAGACCCGAGAAGAATTGAGTTCATCTGAATGGTGGTGATGGAGGAGAGTAGTATTGAAAGTACCCCCAAAAAGAAAGTACGCCACAATGCCAGAATTAGTTTTCTTTTTTTGAAGGAAGTATTAGGTAGCTTAGCTTAGGGGCTGGGGCGTCCATTACACGTGCTCAGAATGCTCCTTAGAAGCCAGGTTGGTGAGATGTACTTTTTGTACTTATCAGCAAAGACCAGTCCCTGGTAAAGGGACATAAGGACTTCATGCTTGGTAGAAGGTTCAGGGGAAAAGTGGACCCTTGAGGTGATGAGATGTCGCAGTGGCTGCAACCAAGGGCTCAAATATAACAATTGGAAGGATGGTACAGGATTAGGCAGTGCTTTGATCTATGAGTCCGGACCAATTTGACAGCAGCTAGCAATATCTGGAGGAGCCCTGGTGGTGTCGTGGTTACACATTGGACTGCTAACCACAAGGCCAGCGGTTTGAAACCACCAGCCAGTTCCATGGGGCTGAAAGATGGGGCTTTCTACTCCCCTCAAGAGTTACAGTCTAGGAGACTCGTAGGAGCAGTTCTACCCAGTTGCAGAGCGTCACTGTGAGTCAGTATTGACTGGATGGCAGTGAGTTTTATTTTGTTTTTAATAATACCCAGAGCCCTGGTGGGTTACGTGTGGGACTGCTAGCCACAAACTCAGTTTGAAACCACCGGCCACTCCTTGGGTGAAGGACGAAACTTCTGAATCTAGTAAAGACCTATAGTTCCAGAAAACCACAAGACAGTTCTACTCTGTCTTACAGGGTCGCTGTGAATCAGCGTTGACTTCATGGTAATGAACTTGAGCACAGTGACACCCTTTGAAGGGAACTGCTGGGTCATGTGACTTTCACCGATGGCATCACCATTTTAGATCTGCAACAATGAACAACATTATCCGTTTCTCCACTTTAATTGGTGGTGATGGTTTTTGTTGTTTGTATTTCCTTAGTGACTGGTGGTGATTTATGTGCTTTGGGCTATCTTTTATTTGTGGAGAAATTAATATTCAGGTCTTTTTTTCATATTATAATTAGATGGTCTATTATTACGTTGGAAATGTTCTTTGTATATTCTAGAGCCAAGTCCTTTACCAGATAATTTGCAGATATTTTATCTCTTCCTGTAGGTTGCCTTTTCAACCAGTAAAAGGGTTAAATGTCCTTACAAGCACAAAAGCTTTTCATTTTTATGAAGTTCAGTTCATTTTTTCTTATTCGTTGATGTTGTCTGTAACACAAAGTTATGACAATTTCCTTCTAAATTTTGTGTCATTTTAGCTCTGTACTAGGGTGTTTGATCCAATTTGAGTGAAGGATTTTGTATTAGGTGAAGCAGTGGCTTAAATTGGTTGTTTGTGTTATCTGGTTTTCCCAGCACTGTGTATTGAAAGCTATTCTTCATATAATTGTCTTGACAGCCTTGTTGACAATCAATTAACCTCAATTTTAATAGTTTATTTGTGGACTTAATTTTATCCTGTTGGTTTATCAAGTCTACCCTCAATGCCAATGCTGAAATTTCTTGATTACTGTAACTGTGTACCAAGTTTTAAAAGTTGAAAAGTGTGTTTTATTCTTTTCTAAGAGAATTTTGGCTATCTTGGCTAATTTGTTTCCATGTAAGTTTTTTTTAAAGCCAGCTTGAATTTCGGTAGTGGTTGCATTTCGTTTATACATGAATTTGGGGGTGTTACCATTTTAAGAAGTGGTACCATTCCATAGAAGTGGTCTATTTTCCCACTTATATAGATCCTTTATCTCCCTTAATGATATTTTACAGCTTTCACTGTATACATTTTTTAAAAATCATTTTATTGGGGGCTCCTACACCTCTTATAAGAATCCATACATCAATTGTATCAAGCACATTTGTACATGTGTTGCCATCGCTTCCAAGATATTTTCCTTCTACTTGAACCCTTGGTATCAGCGCCTCCTTTTTCCCCTCCTTCCCCCCTCCTATCCTCCTGGTGAATCCTTGATAATTTAGAAATTTTATTTTCATATTTTACACCGTTCGCTGTCTCCCTTAACCTATGCACTGCATAAATCTTAACTTTTAATACGTCTTTTAAAAATGTATCCCTAACTATTATTTTCCTTTTCCGATGGTTCATTTCTAATGTTTAGAAATGCAATTGATTTTTGTGTATTGGTCTTGTAACCTATAACCATACAAAACTCATTTAGTACTCTTAGTAGCTTTGGCAGTAAATTCCTTTTGATATTCTGCATAAAAAGAATTCCTATTGACAACAAAATGGTTTTTGCCTCTGACCTGTCCTGTATTAAGGCACTCACTCGTGCTGATCTCACTATCTCGATGGTGAAAGATCTGCTGTATTTTCCCTATGGTGCCTTCTGCACAACCGTAATAGTCATTGCAGAAATTAACAATGGGAATCCAGGTTGTGTTGTATTTAAGCCTCATCTAAATAGTTTCTATTATTGAATAGTTTCTATAATTGGCATAGCCTTGTATTGCTACTTGGACTTTTTATTGTGCCATTATTGTATTTTAGTTGCATTTTAAAGGTACTTGAGTTTGGACATTTGGCTTATAGGAAATCTTTTAAGCAAGATGGATAGAATCCTTGAATGTTAGTCTAGCCATGAAACTAAGTTTTATATTCTGGAATTGACCTGATTTTCTATCTAATACGGACATTTTTAGTATCCAGTATTGAAGTATATGGGGAGTTAGTATGTGAGGCTCTCGAAGCTATATTTGACTCAGTACTTGGCATTTGATAGGAGTAAATACGGTGTTTGAATGGCAGTTGTGATGGGAGAAGGCATTGAGAAATAGGAGTAGTTGTGTTCTGGCTTGATGAAGAGCTAACTGGTTGTGCAATGTTTGGGAAAGTAATTATATTGTTTCTGCCTCGTTAGAAGGAGGAGGGGTGGCTGACCCAAAGTCCTGGCATTCTGCTCTTGCTGTGCTCCTTAAGCTGATGTTCTGCTTTAAAGGGTGGCTTTTTATTTTTTAATGTAGTCATTTGGAGATCTTTACAACAGATTGATACATTAAGTTCACTCTCGAGTTTCTGGTTTTAAATTAATTGACATGGCACCTCTGGGTCTTAAAGAGTTGTCATATTGCCCCCTGTGACTCTCGTGTGCAAACAGTTGATGGTTACTGCTCTGGAGCCTGAAACAGCATCCAGACTTTTGGAATAATTAAGTGGTTTGGCAGTTATGGACATGGAAAGAGAGAGGACATAACTGGTGGCACTTTATAGTACAGGAATTCTTTTAATATGTTAAATAATTGAATCTTAACAGCCAACCTGTGAAACATACAGCTCACTGACATCAATTCGATTCCGACTCAGAGTGACCTTATAGGACAAGATAGAAGTAACTGCCTCTGAAGGTTTCTGAGACTAACTTCAGGCCAGTAGAAAGCCTCATATTTCTCCTGTTGAGCAGCTGGTGGTTTCAAACTGCTGACCTTGCAGTTATCAACCCAATGCACAACCACAAGAGTACCAGGGCTCCATGAAACAAGTTTGGAAGGTGTTATTATCTCTGGTAACAAATAAAGAAGTTGAAGTTCAGAGACATTGACTCATTCAAGGTGTGCTAGTATGAAGCCGTGGTTGGGCTATCAGGCACCTCTGGTACCTTTTCTATTAATCCCTCAGATAGGATTGTGTGTGAAAGATTACAGAAGGTTTTTCGTTCCTTGTTTTGGAAATGGAACATTTACCTACTTAGAAATATAAATAAGGCTGAATGTCTAAAACAAAGGGTCTGTATTACCCCTTAAACTAATGTATAGCATGCAGCTTGTTTTTATTCCTGTTTGTGCATTGTTTTTCCTCGGAAGGACACGAGCATCAGTTGCAGTGGTGGAAACCAGAATGGATAGGGGTCACAGGTAAAACTGGTTGTGTAGTTAGTTGTGATCATAGTTAGTCTCTCCTTGTCATGATTATTTATTTTGAATTATTTCTAACCTCTCTTTTCAGTTAGGTCTTATTAAATTATTGATCATGGGCCCTGTCTCAGATACTTTGCTTTGATGCAGGGTGGTCTTACTATTTCTTGTGAAATGCGTTTGTGTGTGTATGTAGTAAGACAGTTGATCTTTTGGGAAGAATCACTTCAGAAATGTTCGGTGCCTCTGGCTGTGGTTTCTATTAGCCCTTTGTATTCTTGCTTTTTCATGCCCATAGAATTCCTGATATCTATCTGTTAATCATCAATGAGCTGGGATTTGACAGGGTGCTTTGTGGTTGAGTGGCTGTGATAGTTTAATTCTTTCCTTCCTCTTTGTTTATCTTTCTTTTTTTTTCCTTTTTTTTTTCCGAAAACCAGATCCTTGAGGCAGCCTTGTACTTAGCTCTGCTTTAACATCTAATTTTCAACTTTGGCGTTTGTGGAAATAAGAACCGGAGGCACTAAGGTGTTTTTACTTGTCTCGGTACAGCAACTACCATAGTTTTGACACATAACATGCGTATGTAGATAGCATGCACTGAAAACTACCATGTTGAGAGTGTTTACAAAAAACTGTAACATACACACGTTGTTTGGATAGAAATTCGGTAGCTCTAGAAAGCGTGGAAAAGATTACCTTGAGAAAGTCTGTTTCCCTAAGTAACTAATGTTTTTAGAGTGAATATTCAACATTGTCATTCCTATTGGTTTACTGTGCTTTCTCTCCCTTTAGCCCCCCAGGTTCGCCTAATAGTCTTGGCTACTTCCCTACAGCTGCTAATCTTAGCGGGGTCCCTCCGCAGCCTGGCACGGTGGTCAGAATGCAGGGCCTGGCCTACAATACTGGAGTTAAGGAAATTCTTAACTTCTTCCAAGGTTACCAGGTCAGTAGCTTGAAGAAGGGGAGAAAAAAAACCACAACCCAGTGACCTTCTTCCTTCAGTTGGTTTGTCTGGAGAATGGAGCCAGGAAAGAAGTGAGAGTCTTTGAACGCTGTGTGTGCACATTCGGTTGGATTTGCTTATGGAGGCCATGCCAGGGGAGGCGCGTGTGTGAATGTTCATCTGTGACAAGACAGGGCTCGCTTGCTTTCTGTTACCTCAGTTCTTCCAACTCACGTCTGTCGGTGCGTCTTTGGAAAATGGAGTGAGTGTGTTAAAGCGCATCATAGCCCATAGCAGTCCGTTTTGGATCTTCTCTTTTTAATTACAGGATTGGCTGCAAAGGTGTTTTCCTCAAAAACGACTATGCTCGGTCACTAAAAAGTACATAAACACTCCACTTCATTTATTCTTAGAACAAATATTCATGAAAACATTTTAAAAGTGAATGAGGCTTCTGTTTAAATCATAAAAATAACATCAACTAAACTAACCCACAGCCATTGATTCACTTCTGATTCACAGCGACCCTTGTCTCTTTAGAGAGGCGGACAGCCTCCCTCTCTTCCTCGCAGCAGCTGGTGGGTTTGAACAGGACTGCCCTCGCCCAATTAGCATCCCCAGGGCTCCATCTGGTGGCTCCACAGGGCACTCATATCTCTCTGCAATGATCTGTGTTTGTCAAGGCATTGTTTTCTGGCTTAACCCTTTCATGACCAGTTTATTTTCTACCCTTTTTTGTTTGTTCAACACCATGTGTTTTCATCAGTAGAAGACATGCTGAATCGAGGAAAATTTCCAAAATTTTGTTATGAAATGTGGATATCGATACATATGGGATCACATGTTTCCCTCTGGACTCACTGTACCTTCTAGACAGTTCAGGGACCTGTGTGTATGATATTTGCACAAATGTGGAATCATTGTGAGAAAGACGGCTTCCAACAATTCACAGAAACTTGGGAATAGAAGACATATCTCCCACTCAAAAAGTCCAAAGAGAAAAGTTTTGCAAGAATCACACCTCTAGGATGATAACCATAACCCCCAAGGAGAAAAAGCAAGGGGCTATTCTATGCCTTGGGGAATCATAAGGGGTTTCTTGGAAAAATTATTTTACAGTGAAAAAAAATCTCTTCACACTTCAAATCTCATAGTTACAGGCAACCTGAACTCCTTATAATGCTTCACAACCACAAGCTTGCAGTCTGTCTTTCCTGCCTGTAGCGATAACAAAACCTATTGTCATGGAGTCCACTTGACTCGTAGCTACCCCCAGAAAGGCAGAGTAGAACTGCCCTGTTTCCAGGGCAAAAGGTCTTTTTTTTTTTTTTTCCTTTATTTTTTTGTGAACAAATCTAACTAACTCATCATGGAATAGAACCTAGACTCAGAGGGGTGCATCAGAGGGCTGTGTCCTGCATGGTTTGTCTCCTCAGTCATTGTCCACGGGACTCTGAGAAGCTGTAGGAATATGCAGGCGCAGGCTCCAGGCCCGGCTTCATCTCCGACGTTGTGGAAAAGGACTGTACATCACGGGGCGCCGAGCCCTGTGCTCCTCCAAAGGGCAAAAGATCTTATTGGAAGCCAATATTCACATTTTTTCTCCTTCAAAGCAAGCGGGGCCTTTGAGACCCTCTCCTCCTGGAACAGACTTTGCTCAAGCCTTTAGAGTTGAGAAACTGCTCTAGGCGTGTAACATAGCTTTTGTGTACTTGCAGGACAGACAGTACAATCCCATAAAGGTGGTATCTGCTGACACGGTTTCACTATTACAGGGACTTTACCAGCTTGGCATCCATGAATCCTGGGGGATTGTCATCTCAGCTAAGATGATCCCAGTGCTGAGGTTATGTGCCCCCAAACCTTTCAATTGTCTGTCTGGTTTTTGTTTTTTTGAGAAACGCTAACAAGAAAATATTTTAGTTAAACTACAGAAACAATGGTTATGGTACAGAATGTTCATAAGTGAAAAAGATACACCATGTTGCAAGTGCTTACAAAGTTACATTTGTTTTCTTAACATTTAAGGTCATACATGAAGATGATTGGGTTTAACATTTGGGAGAGCGGGGTGAGAAGGGGGGAAAACGTGCATTTATCATCAGCTAAATGTGCTCACTGGATGCTGTATTTATGTGCTAGGCCTGGTCCTAATTCTTTCTAACAAAAAGGGATATTTTGTGAGAAATCTCTGACTGATAATAACCGTACAAAATGGACCAGAAGCCATCTTTTTTTTTTTAATTACTGATGGTTATAGTGCATTCTAAAGATCCCGGACAGTGTTGTGGGCTGCACGTTCGACTGCTAACCGCAAGATCAGCAGTTTGAAACCACCAGTGGCTCCTGGGGAGAAAGATGAGGCTTTCTATTTCCATAAAGATTTACAGGCTCAGAAACCACAGGGACACGGGCATATAGGGCAGGTGTGAGTTTGAGTTGACTCTGGCAGTGAGAGAGTTTCGTAAAGAAAGGGTCATGTTCAATGTCCCCATCTCCTCACCCCCATCAGTATGTCTTGGCTCTTCTCTAACAATTGTGCGCCTGTCAGAGCCTTTGAGGGAATAGACAGCTGCTTCCCAAAGTTGGTGTCTGCATCGCTGAAATCATTAGAGGAAAGAGTGGGAACTTTTGCGGAAAACTATTCTAAAAACAGTTAATCTCGGGGAGAAAATCTTTTTTTTTTTTTCCTTCAGACAAAAGGAAGTCTCAGGCGTTAGTGGCCAGCTCAAGTTTTCTTTTAAGGTTGTTTGAATTTGTCACTGTTGAACTTGTAAAATCACACTGAAGAGACTGAAGTGGTTTTACACACATTGAGAATGGATTGGAACAAAACTGCTCCCTCTAAGAAGTGTGTCGTGGCTATTTTTTGTCGTAATTTATTTTAACTGAAGCAACTAATAGTAATTCTTCCTAGATTTATAAGTGAAAAGTTGATATACACCTCAAAATTGATGTAATATAACATCTCTTTATAGCTATTTATCTTTTTAGTAATTTCTGGAAAAGCATTTAAGATCAGAGTAGGGTTACCAGTATAACTTGAAATATACATTGAACATGGCATTTGGCTTTGTTTTTAAAATGCTTAAAATTTATTTACCAAATCAATATGTTAGGATTATCTAGAAACTTAAGTGATCTTAGATAATTCAGGATATCAAATTATTTTGATATTTCCTTGAAGCAATTTGGGTATTACAGGTGTTGAGAATTACAAATTCAAAATCCTTCACATCACTGCGGTTAGCCGTCATTAGGGGTCTGTGCTTCCTCTGTTATTTCCTATAAGGTCAGTCAGTCAAGTCGTAGCCATTTGGTATCTGGGAGCACTCCAGATTCGCTGTGGATTTGTCTTAAGATTGAACAATCACTTGTTTTGTTTTAAAAACACTCCCTCTCCCCACCCAGTGTCTGTTACTCTTACAGTGTTTATCACTGACTCCTAAGGGAAGGTGTAGCTTTGTTTTCTAGCAACTTGTGACAGATATTTTAATATAAATTATAATTTAAGAAATACCTGCGTAATATGGTTGATTGAAACAGAAAATATATAATGTGATTAATTATATGTGCCCTTTGGTGGATGAAATACAGTTAAATATAATCTTTGAGTGGTTGTTCCTCCTGCCCTTAGCAGAAATCCTTTAGTAAAATACTCCAACCTTGCGTTTTTAATATTTCATTTTCTGGGTAAAGCCAAAAAATAATAGGGCTTTATAGGAAGATAATTTTGATGGTTTACAGCAAGATGTCGTCAAATCTACACTCTTATAAATGTGCCTGGATTGTGCCCATTTTCATAAATGCAACAATAGATGATAGAATACAGTCTATTTGAATGCTGTGATCATAACTTTTGGAGGATTGGCAGAATTCTCTAATAAAACTATCTGGTGCTCGATTTAGAAACATAAGTGCACCAATAGGATGAGTAGCAGATTGTGTGGACAAACTATGAAAATAGCTCCAGGAGGGGGGTTACTGTGGTCACTAGGATAACTTGTGTGCATGTTATAAGCTGATAAGTCCCTTATTTTGAGATGAGTTTTCAGGTAATGTAACAAGTCTAACTCTGCCGCCCTCTCTGTCAGTGGCTTCGCATGTTCAGTCATCAGTGGCAGTTTTTGCTGCTCAAAGAAATGACTTTCATCAGTGTTCATTTAGACTACTTTTTTTTTTAAATCATTTTATTGGGAGCTCATACAACTCTTATCACAATCTATACATACATCAGTTGTATAAATCACATTTGTACATTCGTTACCCTTGTCATTCTCAAAACATTTGCTTTCTACTTAAGCCCCTGGCATCAGCTCCTCATTTTCCCCCTCCCTGCCTGCTCCCCCCTCCCTCATGAACCCTTGATAATTTATAAATTATTATTTTGTCATATCTTGCCCTGTCCGTTGTCTCCCTTCACCCACTTTTCTGTTGTCTGTCCCCCAGGGAGGAGGTTATATGTAGATCCTTATAATCGGTTCCCCCTCTCTAACCCACCCTCCTAGTATCGCTACCCTCACCACTGGTCCTGAAGGGATCATCCGTCCTGGATTCCCTGTATTTCCAGTTCCTATCTGTACCAGTGCACATGATGGTCTAGCCAGATTTGTAAGGTAGAATTGGGATCATGATAGTGGGGGGGGGGGGGAAGCATTTAGAAACTAGAGGAAAGTTGTGTGTTTCATCATTGCTACACTGCACCCTGACTGGCTCAGCTCTTCCCTGCGTCCCTTCCATAAGGGGATGTCCAGTTGCCTACAGATGGGCTTTGGGTCCCCACTCTGCACTCCCCCTCATTCACAATGATATGATTTTTTGTTCTTTGATGCCTGATAAATCATCCCTTCGACACCTCATGATCACACAGGCTGGTGTGCGTCTATGTGGTTTTTGTTGCTTCCGAGGTAGATGGCCGCTTGTTTACCTTCAAGCCTTTAAGACCCCAGAAGCTATATCTTTTGATAGCCGAGCATCATTAGCTTTGTTCACCACATTTGCTTATGTCCCCGCTTTGTCTTCAGCAATCATGTTGGGAAGGTGAGCATCATGGAATGCCAGTTTAATAGAACAAAGTATTCTTGCATTGAGGGAGTACTTGAGTCGAGGCCCAATGTTGGACTTCTTAATAACTAAGATTTCTGCTCACTGTCTTATTTGGATCTCTAGATTACTTTACAGAATTTATCCATTCATATTTCAAATTCACTGAGTTGTTTGGAGATCATTAGGTATCGAGCTTCTTGTATAATGTTTTGCAAATAGTTGGTGTTCGAATTTTTACTATCCATTGTATCTATAGTTTGCTGCTTAGCTCTACTGTGAAACACCTGGAGTGTTTGGTTCCATGAGTTGCTGTGATTTGATGCTCTGTTTTCATTCAGGTGGAGTTCATGGTATTTAGATGTGTTAAGTATGGCATGATAAAGGAAGGCTGGGGATGATCAGTTAGGACTGGGCTCTTACAGTCTTGTTTCCTCTAGTCCAAATGCCGTATAATACTGTTGGTAAATCTCCTCAGTTGAAATACTAACCATCCATAGTGACTGCGTTGTCCCTCTTTTGATCCTGTTCATTTTAACTTGCATTTTAGTATGCAACCGAGGATGGACTTGTACACACAAGTGACCGGGCCAGGACTCTACCCAAAGAGTGGGTTTGTATTTAAGGGCCCCAGCAGTTAGACCAGCCTCAGAAAAGAAGGTAAGGCTGTATGATGATGTAAACAGTTAAGCTAAAAAGACCCCAGTCTGGAGTCTGCACGTGCCTCCGCCGCCAGGTGGCGGTTTGAGTCTTATTTCTTGTGTTAGACATGAAGGCAGTCATACTCCGGTTCTTTTCCAGGACAGACCAGTCTTTGGTCCTTTACCAAAGGTGTACTGCACACAGAACCGTTTTGAGTTTTAAGCAGCACAAAGGAACAACCACCAATTTAAAAAAGAAATGAAGGCAGTCGTCTAAGTTGAGAGTATTTACTCAACACTTACCGACGAGAGTTACGTGTTATTTTGCAGTAAAAACTGCCAAAAAATAAATAATTAACTGCAAGGGAAAACTTGCCTGTGTGGAAACCATGTGCTCTGTTACCTGTGAGAAATATACAGACTTGGATATACTTTAAGGGCTTGGCTTCATTCAAACAACTGTGAGATTTTTGCTCCACATCTTTTCTGTCTTCTAAAACTAAATCTGGAGGGGATGTTACCTTGATATGGTTCTTTGTAAGTAAATATTTGGTTTACTCTTAATCTACCATCATTTATGAATGGATAATGGAATTCTGTGTCAGGGGGCTTGTTCAGCGAATCCGGTGGTTGATATCGTCATCTTCTGGGGGTGGGCGGGGATTGGTCCCCTGGCGTGTCATTTTCAAACTTTACTGTTTCGATGCCTTTGGGGCTTTGTGTAGGATTCAATCACATAGACTTGGGATGAGGTTGTCGATAGCCTTTCACCCTTGAGAAGTGGTCTTGGGTTTGCAGCTCCTCATCCTGAACATGTGTAAACTGAAGTTCTGTTTTAAATGGTTCTCCAAGGAGGTGGAAATGGAAGCCAAGGTTCTCTGCTGTGTTCTGTGACATTTCAGGATGTTTGAGCGGCCAGTGCGCACTCGGCCCAATATGTTGCAACAGAACAGTCTTTGGTGTTTTCACAGTGGTGAGAGGAAGCACATTATTCTAGCCTGTTGATCGCTTTTTTGTTTTTTTGTCCTTCCAAGTCATCTCTGTGACGCCTGTGAAATAGATATGTGCCCCTTTAGCCATCAGCGTATTGGATAGGACATGACTGGGCATACAGAACTGTTGATGGCGGCACACTTGAGCCTCTCAGCCATTCTACCCTCTGCTTTTATATTCAGGCCCTGGTAGTGACCCGACTTTATCAGATGTTTTGTCAAGATTCAGAAAATGTTTGTCTTTCTTTTCATCTTTAATAAAGCCCGGTTAATTTGTCTTTACATTAAGAATTTTTAAAACTTCATGTAAGCACTGTGAAGTTTTGGGGATAAATGATCTCATCTTGACCTTGGGAATAAACATTGGAAGAGCCCTGTGTGCACGTTGTGATGAGGCTTGAATATATTATTTGAGTTCAGAGATAATCAATTCCACCACTCAGGAATAACCGTGGGGAATATTTTCTTTCCATTTCTTTCAGTGTGCCTTTAATTTTGGATGTTTATTTTCACATGATCTTTTATTATGACATTTATGGTTGTGAAGAAGGGGGGGGCAGGTCCTTCTACTTAAAATGTTTTCTAGGAGCCATCAGATCTGATCTATTAATAATCAGTTAATGACTTGATAATCCTTTACGGAGTACTTTGCATCTTGCAGGCTTCTGGTTTGGGTTCGGCCCTGTGGCGTGGTGGCTTCATCTGTGACATAAATGTCTATATGCAGAATCTCTTTTTTCCTTATTCAAACTTCCTTAGCTAACCGTGGTAGAGGATTAATGGGGTTGTTACTTAAAATACACAAATGCTTTTTCAAACCCTTGGGAACAGAATGCATAATTAAAACCTGGAGAAAGTAAGAGCTCAGTGATTGGTATCTGTGCCTGGCACCTTCTTCGTTTGCACTCACTGCAACATAAAACACCACTGATGAGACCTCTCTCCTGGTTTCTTCCTTTTCTTCTACCTCATCCTTCCCTGTCTCCCCTTTTGTCCTCCTACACTTTCCCCTCCTCGTCTCCTTTCTTCCTCATTTGCCCTTCTTCTGCCTCTTGAGCTTCCTTTACCACCACCTGCTTGTTCTGTTATTCCGCATACCGATAACAAATTTATTAGCAGCAGCCATCTTTTATGCCAGTTGAGTGATTCATGTTCTTCAAAATAGTCTTGAACCCACATGGTCAGTTCTCAAGCCTCACAAAACTCCTATGAGGTGTCAGGACAGGTGACTGGGACAGATAGGGAAATGAAATTCAAAATGGTTACTGCGGCACTTTTCACAAAATCATCGTGGTAATAACCAGACTGACAGACCCAGCCAGGACTGACGGCTTCAGTCTTGACCCTCTTATCCAATAAGAGCATGGCAGAGGACAAATATTTGTTGGGTGTAACAAAGTGCGCTCACTGCGGGTAAAAGATCAGATGTTGGGGGGCGGGGGGTGGGGGTGGATGAACTGATCCCAAGGGCTCAAGTCAAAAGAAAATGTTTTGAAATATGATGGCAGCGTATCTACATATGTGCTTGAAAAATGATGTATATGTGGATTGTGATAAGAGCACCCAATAAAATGACTTTTTAAAAAGAAAATGATCACTTGATATCATAGACTGTGGCAAGGCTTGGTAAGAACACGTCGTTTGGCCTTCTTGTAGCCTTGATCCCATCAACATAAAGGATACTCATGGGGGCCCAGGGTGTTTATTATTGCCAAGAAACCACTGTAGGCGTGCGTCTTTTTTGTCATAAAAGACCCACCCACAGAGAGCTCATGAGTTCTTAGGGTAGCCCAAAGCACCCCCGTGGGAAAACGATTCCTGGCTGGCCTGAAAAGATGTTTCTACAGGTAGCTGACGGGATTTGTTCTCACTTAGCATAGGCCCTTCAGAGGCATTGTCAGCTGAGAGATTTTAATTTGTCAACAGGCGCTTACACTATTAACAGGTCACATTTCCCTGCCCTGAAAAATAGGTGTGACGTCACATGGCATCTCCCTGGCCCCTTCAGAATTGATTAGCATGATGACTGTGAACAAGTCGTTCAGACTATACAGTTCCGTATAAATGCACTAACAATTAGGTTATTATGATTACAATGCCCATAGGTGCAAAATTACTTGGTAATGAAAACCGATGCATTGTTGAGATTTTGCGTGTTCCATTACAGTCCCTATTTGTTACCTCATCTAGGGTACCATGTGGCACTCAGTGGCCTCTGGTCCCTTTTAGTTTCTTGGTCTTTCCTTGATTTGCATGACCTTGACTGTTTTGAGGCATGAGAACTTTTGTAAGGTGTCCTTTAATCTGGATTTGTTTGCTGTGTTTATCATGGCTCTGTTTGTGCAACAGGGTGTCTTGTGTCGTCACTTGCTATTTGGGGGTACATGATGTCAATGCTTACTGGTGACACTGTGAAGACTTGGTTTCTTCACTATAATTTGCTTTTTGACTCGTGCCTACCTGTGACATACTCCCCTTGTCTTTTTTAAGCCACTTTTCATCCTTTGAAATAAATATAATTGAGTGTGTCCCTTCTCCTGATGTTTATTGTACCATTCACCTCAATTTGAAGGGACAAATTCATTGTCCGGTTGATTCGCGTTTTTGGGAAACGGACTGCCGCAGCTTTCTGCTGCCAGAGCAGCTAGCTACACGCTTTCACCAAAAACCAATGCCACGACAGATACGCACGTGAATTTCTCAGTCGTTGATTGGACATGAATATAAACAATCTGGTTCTGTCTGTGCCCTTTATATACATTTTTGCATTGCAAACAACATACCCCCAAAAGTAATGTTTTATTTGCTTTTCATAAAAGCCAGCATCAATATTGGGTATTTCTGGGGGCTTTTTAATGTGTTAAGTCTGTGTAGTTGACATTTAGAGGGTATTGTTGAATACAGAAATCGGGATTCATAGGTAGAAAAATCGGACTTCTATGTGGATTAAAAATTATATTGGAGGGGTGATTTCTGATTTTTATACTATTTTTTATTTTGATTTTCTTCCACTGGCTGGTATTTGATTCTGACCAAAACTTTCATTTAATAGGTATTCTGGGTCAAGAAATGGCTCACTCTTAAAATTAAACATTCTCTTTCATTCTCTTCCCTTCCAAGTCCTATTTATAGTAATAGGTAAGAACAGCTAAGTAAATTAATATTCTTAATTTAAATGAAAAAGATGATCAAAGTTGCTTTGGTTGAAGAATGAGGCTTTTTAAATCTGCATCTATACAGGAGAAGCTGTTTCTTCAGTCATTGTGGCTTTTCAGAAAAGTAATCATCAAAATTATTTATAAAAAGTAAACTATTAAGACCACTGATCAGAATTTCAGGCTTTCCAAGGGGCTAAAGGTTTCCTTCACAGCAGACTGCTAGTTGGTGAAATCCAGATATCTGAAAAAAATTTTCCTTTGTATATATAATGCTGGTGACAATTTCCATGCAAATAAGACATTTTAACAGATAGCTGTACTGAAAAGTAGGGCAAATTTTGTGAATGTTTGCAATTCTTAGCTTTCCAAAGTGCCTGTATATACTAATTTGATATTCTACAGCTAAAGAGGAAGAAGAAATATTTTCCCCTTCAGAGATCTTTTTTGGCTATCAGCTAAGAGCCTGTATTTTTAGGGCTGACACTAAAATTCCATAGGGTTATAAAAAAAAAGAAAGTTCATCTTATTTTCATCTAGCCTTTTTCATACTTTAATGAAATACAGAATTGCAACGTTTGCACCTTCCTAAGTGGATTTATATACTGAACCGGAGTGCGCCAAGTGGAATTCATTAAGTCTGTTAACAGATCCAGGACTGATGAACTTGGCTGCCGCCGCTAAGCATTCAGTGTGTTGACTTCACTCTTAGCCAATCTCCCCCCATGAGGAACTTCGATCAAGGAGCATCAGAACTTCTCCAGATTCCATAGGGAGAAGAACCAAGACAACCATGGTGTGGGTGTTGTGGAGATCACACATACCTCTGACCAGTTTACCAAATCTGGTATCATGTGTCTGCTTCTGGCCGGGCCCGATGGATTACAGTGGCCGTGCAGACCATGCTCAAGAGTTGTGTGGTTGAGAAAGAGCTGAGCTCAGTTGTGATCACTATGTAAGCCACATTTTCAAAATACTAATCTATGAAGAACCTGTATTTTAGTGTTTTCCATTAAATACCTGATTCCAAATATACCTCAATTTTAGAATTTCCAGTATTGAAAGCGAGTCTTGACCATAATTTCAGACCATCTGCTTTTATCTTCAATGCAGTGTTTCAAAGTTTTTGTAATGTGTCTGCGTCAAATAGCATACTGGAGCCAACCTATCAGAGTTCAATCTTGAGTCTGCCGAGGACTAGCTTCAATCACTCTGCTTCCGTTTTCCTGTCTAAAATGGTTACAAACAGCCCGGTAGAGCAGATGTGGTTGTCAGCATGAAGTCATTTGTTGGAACCACTCCCTGCCTCTTACTGCTTGTTAGTGATTCAAATATTGGTTTATTTGTTGTTGTTTCTTCTAAGTGGGGGAGAAATTATTTGGTGTGTCTCTTTGAATTTAAGTCTAAACATCTCCTTCACTGTCTTAGTTACTTTAATAATAGTACTAAA